GATATTGAACTGTTCTCTAATTATTTGACTCGTTCTCGAAAACCATTCGAGAGAGTTTCATTGTATAATAGATCATGATTATATAATTATCTATAGTTGTTTGTCATATCGTAAAATTGAACTGTCCGTATATGCAAAACATGTATTTTCTATGAATTTACTATTATGTTAATAACATGTTTAAAAACTATAACACATGCTCAGATTATGATCTTTTGTTAAGGTGACTTATAGGTCCTATGGGCCGGGTGTACATTTTTTTGTATTTATGTGTATGTATATACATATAACACATGCCACTATAATAAAGAAATTACTTACTTACTTACACTAACAGTCGAATATGTTGTTTAGATTTTCTAAACCGCTCATATTTATGATGCGCAATTTTAGGTAAAAAAGTAAAAATAAATATCTTAAATAAATAAAGGTATGGGTATAATAATGGTGATCGATCTAATGATTATTACATATTATAATTATTTAATTGGCTTTAAGATAGATCCAATGTAGTTGACTTATATTATAGAATATCAACTGTAAAAAATAAAGGTATCACCAACATTTTAAAAGTGAAAGTGTATATTTAAGGATTTATTTCTGTCATGGTATGTTTATGTTTTCTCTATTTCAGGTACTAGAGATCATAAATTTTCTTCCTATTCTTCCGATCCGGAAAAAATTGAAGCTACAGTTTCTAACTATCCAATCTATGAATAAAATGCTGAACAGTTCAAACAATTACTGGCATGTAATGAAGCATTAAGTTTATACCAGTGGCTGAAACATCGTGTTTAAAGGACATATATAATTGCATTATCACAAACCGTGTAGGCCATTAATGTATAATTATATATCACCATTTACATGCTGAGGACAAAGATTATATTTCAACAGCCTCATTGTGTATGAAAAATACCAAATCAAATGAGCAAACTTATTCTTTTTTATTACAGAAATTTAAACAAGATATGTAATTTTAGAATTTGACTTAAAACCCAAGACAATATAAAATACTTGAAAATGTTGTCATATTGTTACCAGAAATCTCTACAATAGAACTTCTCCCATAAGAAAAGGTTTGGCCAAGATAACAATGACTGGCCCCATTAACAAAAGCTCCACTAACTACATTTCTATAGCTGTCCACGACAAATACACAATATTTGCAAATCTGAAGTTGGAAGCAATTTCATTGACTGAGAAGAATACTACGGCGTGAATGGTGGTCATTTCATATTTCCATGTTTAAAATTGACAAATTTACAATTGAGTATCTATTTTTATGGCTAAAAATATGGTTTTATATTTGAATGATGTAGTTTGTATCATTAAAATGTATGTGACGATATGTAATTGCTTTCTGTCATAATATACTAATACAATGTATATATCCCTGTGTCTGCAGTATTAGTCATTGGCCGCACAAGTATGTTAAGTTGGCAGAATTTTTATGCGGGTCAACACCTTGTCGGTGTATCACTCTCGCCTTGAAAATAACTTAAAAAGTATACTGAGGAATTTTTATTTAAAATTTGCAAATTGGTAGTCTTTTGATACTTGAAAATGTTAAATAATACTTGCCCCAAGTAAAGATATCGCGCTGAAACATCACACAGTTGTAGAGACCAGTTAGAGAAAGAGCAGTGTCAAAGAACTGTAACTCTTCATTACTTTTTGAATTATCTCCCTTTGTAATACCGGCCCATTAAACTTTTGTTTATGATTTATAGCCTTTAATTATTGACCGTTTTTTTCATGGTTTTTAGACTTAAGCTAACTTTGAACACCTGGGCCAAGGTCATTGATGCTTAATAGATTTTTACACTGCTGTTCATTCCACTCTTTTTTTATAATTTACTGATGTTAGTAGATACTTTTGTTGGTCATCCAACTTAAGATACTAGGACAAAGGTCACCAGTGCTAAAGATTTACTTATACGGGACTTATTCATTGACCAGTTATCTTGGCTGTTGCTTTGGTTAGAGAAGTGGTCATTTTGGGCCAAGGTTACAAGACTGATAAAAAAATTAGTTTTGTTCAGGCAGCCTTTAGTTTTTGACCGAGGTCTTGAATATTTGGTAGGTAGATACCTCGGCTTATCCATGGAGTATGGGATTGCTGGGGTTTTAGTCATTTGTGCTAAGAAATAAATGTTTTTCACATTTGTTAATACAGCCTGCACTGAATACTTTGACAAATGTTCAGGTTCGGGGAACATCTTCGGAGCATCATTACCTTTATCGGTATTCTTGTCTTAAAATTGGAACAAAACCTCACACTTTCTACATCATAGTGCTGAACTACATACCTTGTATCTTCGAGTCATGGAGTCAGTTATCTGATATCAATCTGGTAACAGGAAACTTTTGGCATTTTTTAGTATTTTTGCCATCAGATTAAGATGTATGAGTTTCATGCATTAAGTAGCTAGATGGTGACTAAACATTTTTATTGAAATGTTGCAAGTTGTGGCAGTTTTCAATACAGCAATGGCAATGGCAGTGAATTTTCATGCTGGAAGTGGCCCATCTTTATTTTAGCAAGAAATTTGAAATTGTGAGAGTAGTGAAGGGGGGCAATATGGGCTGAAACTTCTGGAAATATGGGCTGGAAATTTATGGGCTGGATAGGGAACATTATGGGCTGGAACATTATAGGCTGGATAGGGAACATTATAGGCTGGACACTTATAGGCCTTTAATAAATATATAGGGAAACGTACAGCGTCAAAACGTATGGGACTTTAATACATGGATAGGGTGTACTTAAACTCTCTTACAGGTTTACCGTATTTATAATGCAAGTATAGTGTTCTAAAAATAGCCCTTATTTAACCTGTCATGTCATGTATATATTGATCGGTGTGTACTACACTTCAAGTAAACAAATTTAAATTCCAGGAATCGTGTATATACATGAGTTGTACTTTCAATACAGTATATAAACTTAAAGGGTTGATAATATATGAAATATATATTCTTTCGGGAAGAATTGTGTTGGTTCTAAAAAGAACCCTTTTTTATTTTTTTTATTTTATTATTTTTTTTATATTTTTTTTTTATTTTAAACTTCACTGGCTATAAATCTTTACTGTTGCTCAGTACTATGTGGTTCAGTACTATGTGGTTTAGTACTATGTGGTTCAGTACTGGTCTGTTCAGTACTGGCCTGTTCAGTACTGGTCTGCTCAGTTTGCCGTTGTTGCTGATGGTGTCCTAAAGGGATAACAATCCCATAGTAGGGCATGAATCGTAGCTGTCGCCTTCTTCTTTCGTTTTGTCTTTCATTCTGTTTTTTTCTTTCCTCTCTCAACTCTCTTTCGGACTTCTCTCTATAGGACTGAGCATTTTAATTGTGGCATGGTCTCTGTATTTCTACACCGGTACATCATTCTTTCCATCTGTTGTTCCACCAGTGTATGAACTTCAGCATACAGTTGTATACATTTGAATTCAAGAGCTTTAATCTCCGCAATCTTTTCTTCAACCCTCTTCATGTTGCCTACTATATGGTATGTGGTAAGGTGTGTGCCATGTTGACAAATGATGAACGTTGATGGTAGTCCGCTCTTTATATAGGCACGGGACCGGATTGACCTCATTTTACATTAACCATGATATCAAAAATTATGATATCATGATAACCAATTATGACAAAGAAGACATGGTGTTATGGACCAATCAAATGAGAGATATGAATGAACGTGAATTTTTAATGTCAGTGAATTATGAACATTTTTACTGTATATAATTATATATGGAATTAAGGGGCTTATATATAATGACTTTGATATTTGTATGACAATATTGATAAGATATTTTCTTTCTGGATGAAAATAGGGTGGCCCTTAAAAGGGCCGTTTTTTAATATTATAAAGGGAGAAAAAACACCACACGGCTTACTTCTTTTTCATCATCTTTGAATGAGATCCAATACCAAGGCCAACATCAGTTTTTCTTTTATCCGATGATTTACTGGAGTCATCAGTCGTTGAACGATGGCTGTTTTCCCCGTATTTGAATTCCACGGGAACGACAACGGTATCTGTCTTGAATTTCAGCGGGACTGTCAGTTCACGCAGTGCATTTTCTTAATTGGTCATATTGGTGTTCATTGACCGCATTTCTTGAATCAATTTTTGAAATAGTTTCACCATTTCACCCCTGGTTTTGTTGAATTGCTGTTGCTGCTGCTGCTGTTGTTGCTGCTGCTGCTGCTCCTGGTACTGCTGGTACTGCTGTTGTGGGCGTTGATACTGATTTCTCGGTGTCTGCGCTTGATGTTGTTGATAGTCTGCTGTTTGATATGAACCGTAAATCGATGTCATCATCATAGACGGGGAGGACTGGAGCTCCGACGATGAGCCGGCATTCCACCTGCAGCTTGGCCCAAGCAAAAAGAAGTGGGCCAAGCTCCAGTACTTACTTACTGCCCTGCCTGCAGGGGCACTCACCCTGAGAGTGAGTGCCAGTAAATGGCATTTGCCATAAAACGGCCCTTTTCAGGGCCATCCAACTATTGTCGAAAAGAAATACCTCAATATATTGCCACACAAAGTCATGATTTAGTCTAAGCCTCCCGTATTAATTTATAAAACAAGAGTTAATATATAGAGCCCCCGTTTATTGTTGTTTTTTTCATATAAAGATAATAGATTCATATTAAAAATTTGTTTAGTAGATGTTATAATAATTCATATCTATTTCCAAAAATATAATTTGATGTATAGAAAATAGTTGCTGTAAGTTTTATCCAATCAGATTGCATATCATTTTTTTACATTTTGTTTGTAGGTCAATCCGATTTTTTTATTTTAGATGTGATATTTAGGCCTACTTTCCTACATTTTGAATGTAGGTCAATCCGATTTTTTGTAGAAATTTTTTAATCCAATCAAATCATTTTTAAATATTTTATATAATTATTTCTAATATGTATGTGAATGTAGGTCAATCCGAAAATGCTTATAAAAGGGGTAAGTGAGAAAATGCATTCTTCATTTCTCTAGAACCATGGCATGGGTTTGAGAAAGCTTCTCCGTGCCATGAAGAAATTCTTCTTCAAGAGAGATTCGACTCCTGAGTGGGTCTACAGGGAGATTGAGAAGAGGCATAGGGAGACGGCCCTCAAGGAGTTCTTCGCCAGGCGTGGGGTGGACTGGCCTAGAAGAACTGTGAAGCCTAACAATATTGTTACGGCTTCACAGTTGAAGGCCTTCCGAAACTTAATAATTTATACCCGGATTTATCCGAGTTTTATTCAGTTTTACACAAACAGCCCTTTTCAGGGCCCATTATTTCGGAAAGAAATGCCTCAAAAATATTGTCAAAAATAAATCTAACCTTACAAAATTATTCCAATAGATATTCCATTATCCATTTTTTTAACCTGTGTTTACTACATGTATAATATACTGATCAGTCTACACTCGACACATCTCGCGTTTAAATTTCTTGGAACTGTGTGTATTAAAAAGGTCAATGTAAACTTTCAATATCGGTAAATAAAAAACAATGCGTTTAACTTTTTTAAACATCGTTTTTGTGTCGCCTCTACGGAGTAGTGGCGACATATAGGGATCACTTCTCCGTCGTCTGTCTGTCCGTCTGTCCGTCTGTCCGTCCGTCCGTCACAAAACTTGTCCGGACTACTCCTCATAAACTACTGGTGCAATTTCATCCAAACTTTACAGGAATGATCAGTACCAAGTCTAGTTGTGCATATTGTCAGCATTTTACGGTTCAATGATTTTTGTTTGAGTTATGGCCCTTTAATAATTTTTAATTTTAAAGTTTGTCCGGACTACTTCTCTTATACCACTAATGCAATTTCAATGAAACTTTACAGGATTGATCTCTAGCTCAAGTCCTTGCGCATATTGCACGGGTTTTCCGGTTGAATGATTTTTGGCCGAGTTATGGCCCTTTGATAAAAAGGTGTTTTTTTCTGTGTGTTGCCAGATACGCAAAAGCTTGTCCGGACTACTCCTCATAAACTACTGGTGCAAATACATCCAAACTTTACAGGAATGATCAGTACCAAGTCTAGTTGTGCACTGTCCGTCTGTCTGTCCATCTGTCACAAAATTTGTTTAAACATGAAATTGGCCATCATGAGGCGACACATGTGATTACTGATCGCTCTTGTTTTTATTGTCATAAAACATGAAAACAATTTTACAAACATTTTATTTCAACATTTAGATCTATATTAACATTTTATTTCAACATGAAAAAAACATTTTTATAAACATTTTTTTTATTTATAAACTTTTAAAAACTTTTATAAAGAATGTTTTAAAACTTTTTATAAACTTGACAATATTGTTTTTACAATTAAAACTTGACAAATATTTTTTTAACAAAACTTTTTTAAACTTTAGTTCACTTCTTTTATTATTGTTCACATTTTTAAAACAGTTTTTTCACGGACTTTCTTAATCTTTTGCGTAATGGCTCATAGATTCTTCCAGTATCGCCTTCTTGGTTGGTGGTGGTGGTGTAGTACACGGCTCGGTACTACCTGTGGGGGTTGAGGTAGCAAGTGTGATACCGTTTTGGTTATCGAAGGTCGCTTTGGTAAATTCACGCCCCAAAGCAGTCCATTTTTGCGATGGTGACGTTTATCTCTATTTTCATTAATGCAAAGTCACCATAAGTATCGATGTTCACGAGCTAATTCGTCATGTCGTCTACGAGCAAATTCGTCATAGACAAAATCTGGCTTTGTGGCTGGCTTCTGAGCTGGTTCTGTGTTTTTGTTATCCGACTGTGCTACCGGTGTTGATGGCTGGGGCTGTAAGGTCCCAAGTGTGATACCGCTTTGGTTATCGCTGGTCTTTTTGCGTTCCATCAAACCGGGAAAAATTACATTTTGCACTTGTGGTCCTTTCGGAAGTGGTGATTTTGGACTTTTATGTATTTTATCAAAATATATAAAGGCACCATGTCCATGTTTACGAGCGAATTCCTCATATTCTAATTCGGATTCTGTGGCTGGCTTCTGAGCTGGCTCGGTGTCATCCGATGAATACTGTGCTACTGGTGTTGATGGCGGCGGTGGTGGTGGTGCCATGTTCATCGTGCTGCCATAACCAAAATACTGTTGTTGTTGTTTTTCTGTGGGTCCTAAATACTTGACTGTGTTTTCATCAAATAAGCTAGGTGGTGAAGTGTCGTCTTTCTTGTTACGATTAGGGCAATCAGGAGAATAATGCCCTTTTTCGTAACAACTGAAGCAGGTCACCGTTTTCAAATATTCTGGATCGATCAGTTTTCGTGGTTTCGGACACTCACTCACAAAATGTCCAGGCTGTTTGCAACGATAGCATGTTTTTTTTCACCCCTGTATTCACATCTTTTTTTCACATCTTTATTCTTCTGCGGACAATTTCTCGTAAAATGTCCGTCTTGATGACAACAATCGGTAGCACTGCCCCGATTGTTTATCATATTTCCCTATGAGTGTATTCAATGCACGTATATGTGTCTTCATATTTTGTAACAATACATCTTTTTCTGTGTTAGCCATGGTTGTTGTTCTGTCAAGAGCTGTGTCAGAGCAAATACTGATACTGAGGAGCGGGAGTGCGCTCTTTTTATGGACGTCCGAGGCACGGCTCATTTCGCAGGTATAAAACTGAGCGGCTCGCTCTGTATGAAATCATTATAACACAGTATCTCAAGATGTCTAAAAGACTTGTTCCTTACTCGGATTCATCAAGCGATTCGTCAAGTGACTCGAGCAGTGATGATGATACGGCACAGCTATGAAAAATATCGTTTATCAATAAGTAAAAAAAAGATTATTGAGAAGAAAAATAGAAAAGAAAAAAGAAAAGAAAAATAATAG